CGAGCGAGGTCGAATGTATATTTCCTTTGTTGGCGTGATGTGTAAACTTGGCGGAGTTGCGTAGAAATTCCGTATGTTGTTTCGCTTACTCATTTATTGGAGAATACTACATGCTGTTGTACGGTCCGTACACACATTCGGGGAGTCCAAGTCTGTCTAGTCCCTTCATCGCTCGACCTGGAGGGATAGTTGATAGGCTGGGCGATGAACGTTTCGCTCAAGCTTTGGGACGTCTCAATGTATGTACGAGGTCAAATTTTAGCTAGTTGCATCGTCGCATAATGGCTTGGGCGAGCTCGTGCGTGAGTTTCACGCACTTGTGTTTTATATGCATGTTGGAGAGATTTGTATGTTTTCCGGCCTGGTGACCTAGTCCCAGTCTATACACTCTTCCTTTATGGCTTTGAGTACCAACTTGTTGGGGGGGGGGGGTGTTTCGCTCAACTGATGCCTGCAGGATGATATGACGCAGAGCATTTTCTTGTTGTGCTATTTTGATGGCGTTTGTTCCCTGTTCGTGTGGGTGAGGGTGCCTCTGTTCCTGTCCCACCCTGACAAGAAATAGCAGGTTAAAGACAAACAAAATCGTTTGTTACCTCGACTGATTAGTTGACGAGTGGAAGGGAGCGACCATGTTCCCTTCTTTCGATATGCTTCGTAGCTGCTCTCATTGGTTGAGCTAATATCCACCGAACTTGGATGACATCTTGTGGGTCTTTGGCTTGGTGTTTTTGCCGTCTCTGCTACTTGGGTCTAGAAAGTCCCTTCGATATGATTGGCAACGAACTGAGAGTGCTAGATTTAGATCCGATCTCAGCCTTGTACTAAGCTTCGGCGTTAGTCGAATCTGAGCACCTTGTGGGTTGATGATTTACTTCGCTCGTTGGGATCTTCGAGTTCAAGTCCTAATCCGATCCAGTTCTGAGTGCGTGGAGACACGGAAACATAGGCCACACCACAAGCACACAGGCGAAAGGATGAAGTTACAGCGAACTGGAAGTAGAACTAGGACCGAGTTTAGATCTAGAGGAAACTAAAAGTTTGGCTAGGAAATCCTCACAGACGGCACCAAATTGTTCGACCAAAAAGTTTTAGGCCTTTTTGTTAAACTAATTAAATAAGAAGATTTGGTGCAATTCCTAGCCAAAGATAATTCATTCTAGATCTGAGATATAAGATAGGAATAAACAAGCATAGCTGAACATAAACTTTGATTACAGTTGTGATTGAACTTCGTAATGTAAGAAAAGGATGATTGCTCTAATAACATCAAATGATAATGAAGAATATATAAATGAATGGAGTCACCATTCTTCAGCAAGATTGACCTTTGTACATTTGATACAGTTGAATTACAGATGAAAACTGAGATTCTAAGCTCTTTTCTCCTTTTTCGGCGAGGAGCCTTAGATTTGGGAACATATTCACCTTTAGAGAGATGTATTTGTTTTTGTGTGTGCTCCCATCAGACCCCCCCCCCCCCCCTCCTCTTTCTATTACCCTTTCCCATGACATTTATACAAAACACTTTCCTTACTCAGCGGTCCTTAACCGGAGTACCTAAGTTCTTGGAATATCCCGTAGAATATTCCTCTAAAATGTCTAAGTGTTGAGCTAGCTGTTCGGGCCGAATTAAGTGCTCGACCTAGACCGTAGCTAAATCACTCGCCGGTATATTGCTTCCTATACGTGACTTCGACTTGGTTGACCCTTGGTCGTTCTTCTTTAAGCAGAATTCTTTGATCAGATTTTGACCTATACAGGTATTACTTACAATATTAATTAGTTTGGCATAGCCATTAGGGTTTATCTAAGAAAATAGTAAGTGAAAAAGCGTCATGTCATTTTATTTATTGATAATAGGAAATAAAACTTGATTTTCGAAACCTTAGAGATAAAAGTTCGCCGTTTCTGTATTACAGAAATAAATCTGTCCATTTTTCATTTTTGTCATCTTAAAAGGCGTAAAAACATATAATATATTTTGATTTATTTATTTGTTCAATATTTTGGACGTTACTAATTGTGCCTTTTACTACCCCTTGTATTGAGGGTTAACATTAATTGATCAATTGTTAATCACTAATTTACATTTTAGGAACATGAGATTAGTTTGAAGTAGAGTCAAATAATAATAATAAAAGACAGCTCGGTGCATCAAGCGGAATCCGGGGGAAATTATCGAGTTTTAGTCCAATAACTACTAAGGGAAAATTATCCCAAATAGTTTAACATTTCTAATGATCATTAAATGGATCTTAGACAAATATCATCACAGTAAAATGGACGTAATTGTACCAATTGATTCCTATTCACATGAATCAATGAATCTAAGACAATCATCGCAACTAAATAAAGTAACTAATGACCAATAATTACTCATATAATCCAAGAAAAAGGCTTGGTATATACCAAAAATATTTACCTAACTTTTTATCAATTGTTAACCTTTGATTAGAAACAGTAGAGCTTTTATTGTCTTGGTTTATTGAAGAAAAGAACAAACATCAATAATTGTGTTTTGAGGTTACGATAATTGGATCTAAGCTAAACTTTGCTCTAGTCACAAATAGCAATAAACTTCGATAGTACTTATGTCAATACACGAATATTAGATAAATATTTTCTCACTTTGAAATTTTTTGACTCTTCTAATTAATATTCTAAATTCATGGAATCACACTTGATATAAACAGAGATAAAAATGAGCCAAAAAGAAAAGGAAATGCAAAAGTGTGATCTCAAAATTAATGAAGTGGATAAAAATTAATAAAAGATCAACCGAGATAAAATAAAAATTAGAGAAATACTTATATATTTTAAACCGTTTCAAAAATAATAGTCGATAAAATATA